CAGCCAGGGGGAATTCTGGGAGTTGAAGTCCACACATCTTCAAGTGGCCAAGGTTGAGAAACACTGCATTAATGAGTTTTACTGCACACTCAGAGGAACCAACCAGACCAGAGATTTTCAATCTACGTGAGATCTTGATGCAGTTCCATGAGAAACCGAAGGCAGAAAAAAGCCTATTCAAATGCAGCTCGTTTTCTATCACTAGAACGACAGATCAGGAGTTCCAGAATTTTTTGTTTTTTAAACTAACAGGTTCCGCAGCCTGAAAAAATTTGAAAAGCAGGACCCCTTTCGACTCTACCACGATGGTTTCATTGGTTGCATTTTGCACCGGCGGTGATTTTCCAACCCCTTGCCTCCCCTTCTTTTAATCCCCGGAAACGAGGAATTGCTGGCCGTGCCGCCATTCTGCTCTCGCCACCTCCTTCCTTGGACTTTGGCTGGCATTGTCCAAAGGCATTCAAGCTTATCTTTGTGGTGGGAGGGACTAGAAACTTGCTTTTCTGCTAAATGGGTGAGTTTTGGCGGGGGGGTGGCGGAAAAAAAATTAGATTTTCTGCCCAGGCCCACATTCTTTCTGCGCTCTTTGGAATATTGGCAGGTGAGTACTTCTAATCAGTTGGAACCATAGAGGGAATGAGAAAAATTCAGATAATGCAAATAAGCCTTTGAAACAGCAAAAAGGATAGCAATTGGGAAACCTGGCAAGAAATTGACCTTTTAATGCATATGTTTGCCTTTTGTTGATTTCTGATCATAACCACAACCATTTTTATTGTTGTTTTAAAAAATAATGGGAGAATCAGTTATTATGTCAGTTCAGACAAGGAGCTCCTTGAGATGCGTAAATAAAATCCCAGCAATGGAAAACCTCCTAACATTTTTTTCAAACACACCGTAAGACCTGCTCATTGGAGAAGGATCAAGTAACATCTTCTTTCTGTGCTGCAAATCCTCGTTTTTGATACCTTATATTGTGTAGTCCTTGGTGCTCTCTGAGCTGGTGGTTTGTTTGCAGACGTCTCATCACCCAACCAGGTAACTCTGCGCACTGATGATGTTACCTAGCTGGGTAGTAAAACGTCTGCAAACGAACCACCGAGCTCAGAGAGCACCCAGGTCTCCACCGTTCAACCCTGAGCTACAGAGATTCTCTTCCGTCGGATATCTTAGATTGTTATAAATGTATGGATTTTTAAAGTTTTTTTTGCTGGCTGATGAGGGAATATGCTATATCACAATTGAGATTTGGCTCTGCAAAAAAGCTATCCTGCAGAGTGGCTTTGCATTTGTCAAAGATTCTGCTCGTTTGTGTGATTAAGAAAAAAATTCTCTCTGATCTTTTAAATAGATCTTGCTGGGCCACTTTTAATCCAGCCTGGCAGGATATCTCTAAAGTGAACATATTTCTTTGGCATAAATGTTGTCAAACGTGCATTTGGCAATTCCCTGTTCCCTTTTTTGGGGCGGTAGGCTCCGTCATTTCACAACAATGCTCCTCCTCTGACTCAGCTGGATCCTTTCTGGATTCCCCCCAATGTTCAGTGTTCCTCATCTTTCACTCTCTCTCCCTTCCCCTCCTGTTAGAGATCGTTGTGGAAAGACGTGTCTCTTAAAATAGGCTTGGGGTTCCTCTATGATGCTTGAAAGTACCAATGGGTCTGCAGACCCATCTCTTAGCGCCCACTAGTTTACACCCCTAGGATTTCCTGGTGGTCTCCCATCCAAATATTAACTAGTTCCAATTCTGTGCAGCTTTTTCTGCAATCAGACAAGGTCAGCTAGATTTGGATAGTTGATACCAGTGATATATTTAGCCCAGTGTTTCTCAACCTTAGCAACTTTAAGATGTGTGGACTTCAACTCCCAGAATTCCCCAGCCAGCCATGCTGGCTGGGGGATTTTTGGGGTTTTAGTCCACAAATCTTTAAGTTTCTAAGGTTGAGAAACATTGCTTTAGCCAAAGCAGCCACTCCTGGCACATTGTGCCTGCTTTCAGAGGATGAGATCCTCTGGTGGATTCCTTCTCCCCTCCCTGCAATTTAGTAATAATCACTATTTACAGGGAAATATCACCTCCCCTTGCAAT